GCTAAAAGAAACGCAGTTTCCAAGTCTCTACTGGTGGCCAATTACTAACTGGTATGCAGTAGTAGCTGCTGGTTGGGGCATTACAGAAAGCTCCTGAAAAAAACGAGCCATGACAGAACTGAGATTCCTATTTTCCTTTTCCTATTCCTCCTTCTTGGAACAAGATGGCTGGAATCCAGAGATCATTTTTTGACCGCTGGGTAACCCTGACATCATGCCCTAAAACATGGTTTAGCAGAAAGCATGGTTTTTAGGAGCATTTTACCAGCAGCCAAATTAGTTCCTGGTTTATACACCGATCTTCCTATTGACTGTGAAGAGAACCACATAAAATCATATGGAGGTGGCTCCTTAGTAGAGATTACTGGGCCAAATGCAGAGTCTCTGGTCCACTCTTACTTGTGAAATTTTATGGCTATGCCAGACTCTTAGTGGTAAGAATTCCAATCTGAAATCAGAGGATCCAGCCTGCCAGACCCCAAGTCACTTTTTACAAGTCACCAAGCTTTAGAATAAATATGCTTCAGGTTTTTCCAAGTTGTCATTTTAAATGCTGAATCTAGGTGATTGTTACTACTGTCTTCAAGCCCTGGGAGACTGCTGTATTATCAAAAATGGTCAGTTAGGACACAACAGAAGACATCTTTCGGAGCAACTGAGCTAGCCTTAGCTGTAGGGAGAAGGCTTGGTTTCTCTTTCCCTGGAGTGAAACTGTCATTCTTTTCCCTGTGGCTGCAGAGCTGACCTTGCTGGTTTAGGAAACGGGCACTATGCTGAGATGGGCGCTCTCTGCCCTCTGCTCTGCCTCTTACACACATACTAAATAGGACCTTGGACTTTTCTTATCAGAACCAGATTGTTGTTGTTGTTGTTTTTGGCTTTTTACTTCTCCTTCTCTCTCTTTTCACCAACTTATTTCACTTCCCTACTTTTTAAGTTTTCCAGTGTTTTTGTCACACATACAAACTCACAGAAGTAAACGTAAGATTCTGAAATAGTGTCACTACCTGCCAGATGGGCAATGATGACAACTGGAAAGAAAAGAGAAGAAAACTCACGAGGCCTGTTCTGTGAGGCAGCTTATCTGTGGCTGACCGCGCTGGACCACAGCCCACCTGGAGAAATATGCACGGACCAGATGTTCATCTCATCAACACACCAAGCTATCGTCTTCCATTAATAGTTTAACAAAATGATAACCACGTATTTTAAAAAGTTGGTTTTTGTTTGTCCTAAAAGCTTCTACCATATAGAACCTAGGAAGCTTAGAGGATACAAAGATCAGTAAGTAACTTCTAGTGTTTGCATTAGGGGAGTACATGGCTTCCAAGTCATAGAACTGGGTTGGTTAAGAACAAAAGCTCAGGGAATATGATTCGTCACAAATTAGCATGTGCCATTCACTAAATTAAATATCTAAGAATTCAGTGTGTGCAGGCAATACCACAGGGTTAATCACAAAGAAAGGCTCACTGTGCCCATGTGTGTCAGGCCCAGGAGCCTGGGCCACAGGGTACAGATTTCTGCAAAGGGTAATAAGAGCTAATCTTGAGAGGTGACCCAGGCTGGGCACTGGACTAGGAAAGACCGGGAATCAGGAGCCTCTCTTTTGAGCAGATGGAACTATTAGAATTCTAAACAACAGGAAGATATGATTATGATTGAAAGAGGGGAGTTGTTGAGCCTCAGAAACCAGACAGCATCTGTAATGTAAAAATGACGCGAACGGATACCGGACAGAATCTGTTTTCTCACTCCAAGTGAGGGATGAAAAGCTGTCAAAGACAGCTAAGGGCACAGACAAGACAAAGCTCAGCCAGAGAAAGCTCAGGTGGGAGGTAAAGCCCTTTCAGGCGATAGCTGCTGGGCTAAGTCTACCTGTGAAGAGAAAGTGTGCGTGACACACTGGGAGTGTTCTCTCATTGCTTAGTTCAAAGCGGGTGATGGGGAAAATGTTCTTTTGATGTCTAGAAATCAAAGTATCAATCCTGTGCCAAAACAATTTAACATCTGAGCCTTTTTTCTTAAAATTATTAGTTCTGAAAACTGAAAATGTAAGAAAGTAGAAAAATATGCAAATATCACCTTAGAACCTAAAACTGAACATTTCTTTTTCTAAAAAACAATTAAAAACTATACAGAAATATAAATGATTGAGATATATTTTTCCTTTATAACCTAAATTTGCAAGACCTCACGAGTAAATCTTTAATGTTTGACCACATAAAACCAGAAAGACATCAACTGCATGTAAAGGAAACTTCTGAGCACAGCTGAATTAGCTGATGGAGGCAGAAGAATGACAAAACCATGTCACGGTTTTAGGGAAGGTGAGCAGTTACATAAGCAACGGCACTATAATACTAACGCTAATTAGAAAGTAAGGGTGAAATTGTGAACATTTCTCTCTGGGTAAAAATATATAAACCTCTGTTTTAGGAACTTAATGAGAACTAGATTTTCAAAACGAAGCTTTTAAAGAGACAAGCTCAAACTTAGTTAATTATGCTGTCCTGATCCCTGTCTTAAAATTCAGCACGGTGTATCATGAAACGTTACAACTGGCAGTATAAAAATTTTACCTTTAGAATGAACAAAGCAAGAAACAATTAGAGGTTTCTGGAATAAGGACAATGTTTCTGGAAGGTGGTGTAGATCTGGACAGCAATTTTCTGTTCTGTTATGGGAGGATCACACAAACACTCTGCAAGAGGGAACAAACAAACTAATATAACTATGAAAAAATGCTAGAAGCCTGAATCAAGAGATTACTTGAGGTAATCATTTTCCTCTACACAGGTCTTTTTGGCCTTCACAAAATTTTATCTTTTATTTTGCTCTCCACATTAGCCGAGGGAAATTACCATCCTCTCAGCCTAGGGTCCTTCTGTGATTTGTCAGGCTACTTAATAATAATGAGTCCATGTGTGGACGGGAAAAGTGACAGCCTGTTTGCCTGTAACTACAGAAAATTTGAGATGGCCCCAAACTGGACTCTGGAGAAGCAGGAATGCTGTTTATACCCACACTCTTTCACTAAAATAGCTGTATGTCTGTATAGAGAAATGATGCCACGCTGCAATCTTGGAATTTCCAGAGTTAGGAAAAAAGACTTCAAAGAATGACAAGATAAACAGAAATACGGTTTCCAGGTAGAAATCAATTTAAAAGGAAAAAACATTCCAGATGCTCCATCTGTGTAGAACCCAATCTTTAACCTCTCTCAGTGATGTCATCAAAAGTAAACAAATAAATTAATAGCCCTGCAGGAGAGTATTCTGAATAAGGTAATTTTTAGAAAATGTGTATTGGTTTCCTAACTTTTGATCTTAGATTCCAAAAAGAAGTGTGGCTCTGCACTGAAATTTCACCACAGTGAAGGATATTTCTTGTTTTTGTTCTTGTTCTTCTTTTTTTTTAAGGGCTGTTTCTGACAAAAGTAACTCACTTGAAGTGACATCTGCAGGGGAGAAAATTCACCCTGGGGTGAAGCATGCTCTTCTGCAAGTAATTTACCTTGTGGAACCTTCAGGGCAGCTCTTAATGACCACCACCAACAAAATAACTGCTAAAGCCCTACACAAAAGCTGAAAGACACTTCTGTCCCCCCACCTTGATACACCACAGTTTAATTTTACTGACAGATCAAACTTTTAAAATGTACCCTGCTTATATTTATCCCTTGGCATTTGTAAACAAGTGTGTTTACCATAGTAAACAAGTGTGTTTAACAGACAATTATTAGTTCTACTTATAGGGTTTTTCTCATCAATGGGGTTGGGTGGTCTTTCTAAGCTGATGATCTGGAGGCACAGAATGAAGGCTTGACCTGGGATGCAGGCCTTATTGCTGCATGAAGGAGACGTAATAAAAAATAAAACAACTCTCTGTAAACCTTATGTTTCTAAGGAAACTACTCCATGTTGATTAATATTTTTAGAGTGAATTATAACCACAGCAAACATTATTATTTCACATCCTGGATAGCAGCACCTGAATAACAACTTCAAACTGATAGCCATTTTTTATAGTTGTTGTTGGGTTCAGGGAAGAGCATGTCACTAAATCCTTGCTGGTCTGAAGAGACTGCATTTAGAAAATCATACAGACAATATTACAAATTAAATCCCGCAGATGTCTGAACATATGTGAAGAGCATGAATGCTAACTGAAGACTCTGCCACTTCTCACCGTTTAATTGTAACAGGATATGTTCAACCAAGAGTCAAACTGAAACAGTAATAGTTCCTGGATGAAATTAAACTTTGCAAAATTATTAGACAAGAGATCAAATTATTACCCATGTCCTATTCTTTATAACTGTATGAAAGTATGTCAAAAAGGATCAAGTTATTTATAAAAAACCCTCACAGTGTAAGATGTAGTTATCTCTTCACATGTATTTCAAGCAAAAATCAAATATAGCGCATTTAGTAACACCTTAATGCTCTTTCCTATGATGTACAAAAATTTTATTTGACATTCGCTTTTCAGGAGTTTTAAATATACATCAACGAATCTGGGAGGGAACAATCCAGAAGTGCATTCACCACGAAGCAAAAATTTTAACACAGTACTGTGAATCATTAAAGAAAAGTGATTGAACACAGGTAAATGCGTATTTGAAAACTCTTAAGAGCCTAAGGACTTCTCTGAAAAGACTGCATAAAATTTAACGGCAAGACAATACACAAAGAATGAAAGGACACCAGAAAGAAAAAAACTCTGCCAAATGCAGTTTTTCAGTTCACTTACATTGTCAAGCCAAAATCCTGCTGTTTGGAGAAGACTAAGAATACACTTTTACAAAAATCGTTGCTACATGTGTTCTGTGGTCCCATGCAGTCGCACAAGCCCACACGCACACGCACACGCACGCACATACATGCACACACGCCCCCTTGCAGGGAGCCCGGGACACCCAGCCTCTTTCACGTCCCTCAAGTGTTAACGGCAGCGGCGCCCCTGGAGAGGTCAGCGCGGGCTCGCTCCCTCCCGACCCTGGGAGCTGCGGGCTGCCCTCCCTGTCACTGTCATCCGGTCCACGAGCCCCGACACCAAATCACGCAGTCCTGGGTGGAACACGTCCCGCTGCGTGCGGGAAAGGCCGGGCCGGGGTCCGCGCCCGCGGTGTCTCCTGGGCCAGCGGGTCAGGCCCCGGGACCAGCAGGGAACCGGAGCTGCCGGAGCGCGCGGCCGCCACGCCGGGCTGAGGGGGACAGCGACCTTGCGTCCCCGCTCCGCGCCGTCACTGCTCCGCGCGCCCCGAGGAGGGGACACCAGCACGGCGTCCCGGGCCGCGCTCACGCTCACGGTCACGGTCACGGTCACGGGGTGGAGCCGTGCCCACGCCTTCTCGCGCCTCCCGCCGCCGCCCGCGCTCCTGAAACTTTTGCGCCTACGGGACTGTCGGCCTCCCGCCGCGCGCGTCCGCATCTCCTCCTCACGAGTCCGCGGTCCCCCTCGTCGGCGCTCAGGGCAAGCCCGGCGGGGTCCGCGGCCGCGTCGCCGCGCGAGATAGATAAAGCGTGAGAAGCAGAGGGACGGACGGACGGACGGACGGACGGACGGGCCAGGTCCGCGTCCCGCGCGCAGGCCCTCACCTCGGCCATCCTGCGGCGTCCGCTCCCGGCCGGCTCCGGCGCGTCTCCCGCCGGCCCGCGTGCGCCCCGCTGCGCTCTCGCCGTCGGCAGTGGGCGGCCCCGCCTCCGCCCCTGCAGCGCCCCGGGGGACCCCGCCCCGCCCCGCGCTCACGCCCCACGCCCCTGCGCCCCTGCGCCTGGACTGGGGAGCGCGCGCCCCCGGGCCCGCCCCGCGCCCCTCGCTCCCCTCCCCACCCCTCCCCGCTGCCCCGCGGAGGACGGCGGCACCCGCGGAGTGGGCAGGCCGTGGCCCCGCGGACAGCGGAGGTGTCTCCCCGCCGGGCTTGAAGGCACTTGTCGGGGAGACGCAGACGTGTCCGTGTCTGCCTCCGGGAGCACTGCGCCCCGGTGCCCTGGCTCGGCTCCTGTCCTCCCCTCTTCCTGCGCCAATGGGCTCTGCCTCCAGCCCGCCCCCAGACGCCCTCGGGTCCCTGGCGAACTACACGTCTGGAAGACCTGGTCGCCCCCTTTCCAGCTTCACCACCGCCCCACGACAGCTGTGTGCGACTGCGCACCTCAGTAGCTTCGGTTATAAAATGGGACTAAGGATTTCCCCTTAAGGACAGTTAGGGAGCTGAAAAATCGAAAGGCAGCTTGGCACTTTGGAGCATGTGGGACAGTTTGCCCCAAGACCCTGTGCTTTGGGGCCCATGGACAGAGGGTCCTTCAGTCCCGGGTGCAGAGGTGGCCCCTAACTGCAGAAGCAGGCAGACCCAGGGCCAGAGGGAATGAGGCCTTCCTTCCCGTTTTGAAAGGACTCCCAGGCTAGACCCGGTGTGCAGGGTGTTTCTCTCTCCTCACCCACCTTCTTTTCTAATGATGGAGATCCTTGGTGGTGGTGGAGGGGAAACAAAGCCCCTTCGCGGTTCCTTCCACAAAGTGAGACTGAAGGGGTGCAAGCTGATTGCAGCCTGCCAACCAGGAGGCCGCCCTAGCGCTGGAAGGCACAGATGAGCGGCAGGCCTCCATGGGGAAATGAGGCAGCAGGGCACAGAAGAGAAAAAAGTATGGGTGTCGGGCTATGGAGTCCGAGGGTATTCCCACTGGGCCAGTGTCCTGCACCCATGCCAGGCTGGAGGCGTGAATGTCATGCCCTCAGATGAGATGCCTACTCGGTGGGGGAAGATTCACTTTTCATACAGTTAACGTCAACACTGAGCTTTGCTTTGTGAATTCCCAATACAAACTGCTGACCTCCTGTTCTCTATGTCCACCGTCCCTGAGGAATAAGGCCTCTCTTGCCCTTCCTTTCCTCTCTGGTGGTTGTCACACAATACTTCCATCAAGACCGTTCTCAGCTGTCACCGCCTCTGGGAAGCCTTCCCTGATCACCAAACCTTCCCTTCGTGCCTGCCTTTGGCCTCTCCTGACCCCTACACGTTTGTCTCTGCTTCTCTTGCCGTGCTTACTGCACATTTTGTAGCCTCGTTGTGGCCTCAGTTCTTTTGGTCATTATTTGCTTAGTGGTTTCCACGGAGCTCAGGCTTTGGGGTGTGAATGATCACGGAGTAGCCTGTTCTCAGTAAAGGGAAAGTGGCAGAGGAAGTCAGCTTTCCTGGCCTTCCTTTCCTGATCTATGAAAGTGATATGAAGCCTTGTCTCTGGCCCGGCAGAGATAAAGAAACTAGCGTGTTGTGCAAATATTGCTCTTGTTTCCTTTCTGCTGCACCTAAAACTGATTTTGGGGATAATTAAATCTGTCACAAGAGAAGTCCTTGGTTGTAGTGTTACAGAGTGATTATATATGCTTATGGTAAACACACCAAAATGTCTAAGTCTCCAGCAATGGAGATTTAATACCTTTAATCTGCCCAATTGAAGGTTTGGGCATTATCTTTCTGTTCACTACAAATGAATTATATTTGTTTTAGTAAAAGTACTAGCAACAAATACCAGGATCAAGTCAACTTGTAAGTAACTGTTCCCGGTTGCATATACACACACACACACACATGCACATGTAGAGGATTTGGTAATACATAGTTTGTACACACGACAACAGGCTGCCTCTTCCAACACACACTACTGGGACTGACGACATATTTTTAAAAATATGACCAATTTGGGGGCTGGGGATTTAGCTTAAGCGCCTGCCTTGCAAGCAGGCAGTCGTGAGTTTGATCCCCGGTACCGATAGAAAGGAAACACACACACACACACACACACACACACACACACACACACACACACACACAAAATGACCATTTTTACTTCCACATAGGGAACTAATAGGTCTGCATAAAAAGTAATAATTATTTGCAAGTTCACCTAGAATCATGTACTTCATAATACTATGCGGCTTCTGAAATCTGTTCTCATATTTACTCCCCAGGTTGGATGGACTTCTCTTTCATTCCTTGGAAACATGAAAGCAGAAACAGGATAGAGAAGCCACTGTGCTCGGGACTGGCTGAGTCAAGACTATGCAGACCATGTTCCTGGTGATTTTTAGGTTGGGACTGGGCCCTGTCGTCTCCTTCTCCGTGCTCAGCTTCTTTCGTGTGGCAAAGGAGAGCATGACTGACAGCCAGCTTTCAGAACTGTCACTTTTCGTTCTTATGCTTCAGCCCTGTAGTTTTCTTTTTGTGTTGTTTCTGGTCTTAGCAAGTGATAAAAGCAGAACATCTTTCTTAACTTTACATATCCAGATATTGATAAAAAACTTTATTAAAAATGGGAAAATAAAAAAGACACAAAGTAAGAAATTGACTGTGCCTAGATCTGAAGTGAGCAGGAATCAGCTTTCTGGATTCAAGGGTTTGGGTTGGGTGGCCCTGACTCTGGGCAAGACCTCTCCAGAGAGTGTGCAGTGTGAGCCCATCCTGAGAGTGGACTGTCAGTGCTGAAGGGCTGGGCTGGTTGAGTTCAGGGAAGTAGGGAAGGCGGGGGTGTGAGGTTGGAGGGCCAGTGCCTATCTGAAGTGGGCAGTTGTTGCTCTGTTTGTCATCAGCTGGGAATGTGGGCTCCATTCTCCTAGATTTCCTGAGTTTTCAAGTGAAGCTGGAAATGTTCTGCTATTTAAAAGTTGGCAACTAATTCAATTTTTTGATAAATATAGTGTGAGTCAAACTAAATGTTTGCTGGCTGAATCTGTCCAACCCACTGTTCACTAGTACCTTCTCCTATATAGTGGTGTCTCCATTACATCTGGGTTTGCAGCAGATATTAGGTATGTAAATAATTTTTTTTAGGGTGAATACCATTCTTGATACAGAACACCTCAGGGCCCACCTGAGTTCTGAAAACAGAATGCGCAACCTTGTGAGTGTTGGATTCAGAGTCCACAAATAAGCTGGTGAGCTTTTCCAACATTTACACCCTGGAACTCACTTTCTAGTGGTTCCTATTTCTGTTAAACACCAGAGAGCATTTTAGGAAATGTTTTCTCAAGAAGTTTTCCCCCAATGGGGACAAATGAACTTGAAAATATTTTCTAATTAAAAAATATTTTTAATCATGAGAATCATTCTATTAAAAATAAAAAAGAACAACCCACACCTTTAGCAAGGAGGTCTGGGCACTCAGGATGGGAACTGCATCACAGCAGGCAGGCAGGCCTCTCACCTGAGCCCACCGGCCTGAAGGAGGAGCCTGCCCTGGGGCTGTTCACAAGCAGTCTGGGAGGGGGCGGAGAGCTGCTGTGGTAGCCTCTGCTTGGTCCTCCACATTCCTCTGTGGACAGTGTCAGGAAACACCAGGAGGCAAGAATCACACTGTGCCGTCACCTCCTGGTCCAGACACAGACACCTGGCAGTGGCAGGTCTGGGCACATCTGCAGCACTGCTGGGCGTCGGAGCCTGACTAAGCAGCGCTCAGGCCAAGCTGCCCCCCTTCCTCCTGCAGCTGCCTACCAGGGGGCTGGCCGCCCTGCCACAGACCTGGCACGGATGTTGCAATTTCATCCTGCTCCAGCCACAGGGCTGCTGCCTATTGAGGGAGAGGAGAAGCAGCCATTCTAAAGGTGGTGCAGGATTTTGGTGGCAGAGAATTGTTTCTCTCACAAAAGGTTTGAAGTCAAAAGGCCCAAAATACCCTGAAAATCCTGTTAGACAGATGTGCCTGGCATTTTGGGTATTGATGGCCAAGACCGAGCATCTCAAGGAGGTGAAGTGAGGGGGCTGTCAAAGAGGGTGATAAACACAATAGTAAATTCCAATGTGTGGACGAACCTAGGCCTGATTCCAACTGCTGCCCTGAAGGCATCTGCTGGGGCTGTGCCTTGTGAATGTCAGCAGCCCCTCTACAATCAGGAAGAAAAGTTCATTCCCAACATGAACAAGTGGAAGGTTTATGATGGCTCTTGCAAGCGTAATGCTTAGGAAAATATATTACAAATTTAGATATTATTATTTTGGTATGTGAGGAGTGTATGAAGTTGGATTCTTAATCCGTCTGCCCTTTGTGACCTTTAAACAGTCAGTGACAGTCACAAGAAAGCTGTGGCCTTCCATCTAAACTGGTCATTCTCTTTCATCGTCAAGGCAGGGGGAGTAAACTACCTCCCTGAGCACTCTATTTCTTTCTACAATTACACCTCTGAATGTAAGGAGCTCTATTTCTAATTAACACGTGGAAGAACTACTTAGACTAGCACTTTACAGGTTGAGTGGATGGATTTGAGGGGAGTGTTACAAGGACAGGACAAGTGCTTCTTAGACAGGTTTTGGGGGGCTGGTGAACATGCATCAGAACACTCTTGAGGAGCATTATTTAAGACACCTCTGGGAACATGGTGTCTTCCACAGATTTAATGATCCATCATCTAGTGTGAAGATTTTTGGGTTTTCATAACTGAGAATTCCAAATGAGGTCACACTGCTTTTGCAAATTTGAAAGGATTAGGGAAGATGAGCTATACAACTTTAAAATCACCCTTAATTATTGATATCAAACATTTCTTTGGGGATTGTAGTATATTCATAAGAAAGAGCCAAAGAAAAAAAGCTTAGATTTACCCATGTTGTCATGCTTTTATTTTTTATTTATTTATTTTTTTGTCTTTTTCCTTTTTATCTGTACCAGGGATCGAACTCACGACTGCCTGCTTGCAAGGCAGGTTCTTATGCTGCTGAACTAAATCTCCAGCCCCTGTCATGCTTTTAAGAAGTAAAACTGTTTAAATGTCGGACTTGACATTATTAGAGGAGCTAGATTCCTGTTATCAGAGCTTATTTCTAACATTGAAAGAAAATTAGTTAGCAACCCAGAATCTATGCATGAAAAAGGATTGTAGCAGACTGCGATTGCCTCCTTACCCTGTATTTTAGTCTTTCCCCAACTCAAAGTCCTCTGCTTGATCATTCTATCCCAATCCTGTGGGTGATTGTGTCAGGTAACTCATGCCTAAACCAATCAGGTAGAACCAAGGCATCTTCCTGGCCTCACAAATTGGTTCCATGTCGTCCAATCAGCTTAAAGCTCAAGATTTATGTTTCATGGGTGGAGAAGATAAGTTCTTTCTCCATAGGTGTGAAGAAGGGAAAAAATGATCCTAGTTACTGTTGCCAGTTATCTTGTGAACAGTAAAGGAAAATCAACTCGGGAACTGAGCTGACACAGGGAGATGAGTAGAGTTGAGATAACCATAGAGAAATTCATCTGAAGCACTGATTAAACCAGTCCTGGAGCCCGATGTAGTAACTTACTTTGTTTTACTGCTGCAAGATTATTTTGAAATGAAGGGTAAATGCAAATACCAAGGATTCTCTGTCATAACTTTTGCTTCTTCTTTGCACTAACAGATAACATTGTTGATAACATTAGCAACCCACTAACATAGGCCTTCAATCAGCAAACACTGGACCAGGTGTACTTCCGTACTGTGACCATGATATTCTCCTTGGTCTTAAGTAAAATATTTTTCAAATATGCACTGGTTCCATTCATGAATATTTTGAAAATTTTTCTCCATCGTATTTTAAGGTTTGGGAGGGTAAGGACTGTTGAGTTTTTTATTTTTATCTTTTTTTTTTTTTTGTACTTTTAAGCGGAGGGCGGGGATCAAACTCATAACCTTGTGCTTGCCAAGGACTGTTAGTTTTTACTGTTCTTAGTACAGTGCTTTTTGGTACACAGTAGGTGCTTCATAAGGATGGCTTTATCTGTACCTGTGCAAAAGAAGAAACTTAAACACACATTCTTGTCTTGTAACCTCTTAAGAGTGCCTTCTTATAAATGGCACACTGGAAGACCTCTAAAAATGTAATTGCTAACTGCACTTGGAAATCCACTTTGTCACACTGTGGCTTCTAACACCTTGTCTCCAACACCAAATCAATTTTGA